TACGGTCATCTTTCTTACTTCCCCTCAACTTTAAGCTACCGAATCGCACCCACTCTTCAATCACTTTCCCAATCATCTTTTCATTCACCAGCGAATATTTTTAGCACGAATGTACGAAAATACATTAGCGACCCACGTCCCGTCGATGAGTCCAATGTGCTTTTCCGCTTCTTATTATTGTATAATTATAACGGGTTATTTATTTTTCAAATATTCAGCTGCACATACTGTGTATACCTATGTAAACTAGTGCACAGAAATAAGTGATGCAATTTCGCAAGACTTAACCGTGAAATTTATTCGCGCGGAAATCTCATTAGACGGCCTTACTTTTAATTGAAGGAACATTTATTAGTATCGAAGTAGCAGTATGAAATTTCGCACAATCTTACGGACTCGTATCAAATCATTATATAATTGGAGTATAAAAAATTTTTTTTTTTAATTTTTCATAATTACTCAAAAAAGGGATTTTTACGTAAAGTCAAAAATCGGAAAATTATATCACGCGGAAAGTACGTCGAATAAGGGAGTCACCGCCGATCGAGGCGCAGTATTCGGGAAAGTAAATTCCGGAGTAATGAGTAATCGGCAAAGGATTGGGGGGGGGGTCGTCGTGTGGTTTACGCCTCGCCAGACATTCAGGCTCGAGTTCTTAATTAGAATATTAATTACACGCCACACCACTGTTACCTTATTCTATTCTTTTTTTTTGTCCATTTACTATACTTTACCTCAATTTCTTCTTTTCTCCTCAATTCGATCATCCCTCACGGTCTCTCATCTATCCTTCAATACTTATCCCATAGGAATCCGCCATCTATCACAGTTTCTTTTACTATGGGTCATTCATCTTCGAATATTCCAAATGCACCCTCTTAATGGTATAACACAGTAGTAGAATCCCTATAGTAGTCAGACATGGAAATTTACTGCTGGACGTGAAAATTCTACAAGTTCAGGAATTCACTCTGCGGCTGGTATATACATATTGTATACACCAGCCCACACCAGACTATATATATATATATA